GCTGGCCTAAGAGTCATAGCCAGTAGGAATGGTAGCTTCTTGACAAATCAGAGTACAAGGATGTGTTCCAGAAACACAAAAAAGTTTAAGAAAATGATATTGCTCTTGAAGGAACTAAACGGACTCTTGCCTTTTGTATTTTAATGTAAAGGAAAATATTAAAATGAATGAATGATATCACTGCTGAAAGTAAAACGTTTTCCTGAATACAGATGACATAATGTTATTGTCATGAACTGGAGGTGTGTCTTATTAGACATTTAGATCTGCTATGTGAGATCTGCTGGTTATAGAGCATCTTAGAGTCACAAGGCCCCAAGTTGAATCCTGGCAGTGCCATCTACTCACTTTTATGAGAAATAAAATGGACCTAATAACTACCTTATGTAACTGTTATAAGATTACAACAAAATAATGTAAAATAATGCTTTGCGTGGTGTTTGGGTCAATACATGTGAATATAACACTGTTAAAATTGAGTTTTTGATTGAGGTTATGAAGACACAATAGAAGTAAAATTTCTAAGTCAGATCTCCATACTCACAGTTGACAAGGGAATCAGTCAAAGATAGGTATGGCTGCTCTTGGATCTCTCAGCTTGTTAATAATTTAGAAAGGATACGTGGAGTGGAATGGAGGAAGAATTTGCTGATGGCATTTTGCTTTTGAAGAAAGCTGTTGGCACACCATGGGACCCCCTTTATTCCTGGGCTAATGAATGGGACCCCAAACCTAATGAGAGGGCGCTTCAGGAAGACCACTCTGAGGGCTAACTCTCCATCCTCTGCAGTTGGAAGGATAGAACACAGGTGCCTGACTCAGGTTGAGAAGGCTAAAGCATTCTGTGGAAGTAGGATAGAGGTGACTTAGGGCACTAACCTCTGTCTCCTCCTGGTAATTGTCAGGGCAAGGGATGTGTAAATATTATCTTAGGACCATAAGTGGGTCTCCTAATGAGCAAAAGTGCCACAGCACTGTAGATGGACGGTCTGGAGGAGTTCTGGGTTTTGCCCAAGAAAGCTTCTGCTGGAGGGTAAGAGCAGACCTGTAAGGGAGAATGTAGTGGGAGAACTGCCCAGGAAACAGAAGCTGAGAGGCGACTGGGTGCAGGCATCCTAGAAATGTCTGTGTCTTAGCAACTGCAGTGAGGGTTCCTTTAGAGATGGGGAAGCCCCAAAGGGCCTGCATGAGTGTCCCAGAGAGGAGTCAGCTTGAATTTCTGCCAGCAGGCTCAGAGTGGGAAGTCGACTGAGTGTGGCCTTCTCATCTTGACTCCCTCTTCTCTTTGCTCTTAGCCTGAATGCTCAGAACCCAGCTGGGAAGGAAAAGTGGGGAAGCAGCTATAGTAGAGAAACAGAGAGGAAGCCGCCCATACCATGTTTCCACTGCTGCCTTTTGGCCTGAAACGGGCCTGAGCTGGGGAAGGAGAGAAGATTTGACATCTGATCACGTAGCAGTAGAGTATTTTGGTTATCATCTGGGACTGGGCATCTAGGCTTGAATTGAGACTGTGTTTGTGATTTTTTTTTTTTTTTTTTTTTTTTTTTTTGAGATGGAGTCTCGCTCTGCCGCCCAGGCTGGAGTGCAGTGGCCAGATCTCGGCTCACTGCAAGCTCCGCCTCCCGGATTTATGCCATTCTCCTGCCTCAGCCTCCCGAGTAGCTGGAACTACAGGCGCCCGCCACCTCGCCCGGCTAGTTTTTTGTATTTTTTTTTAGTAGAGAGTGTTTGTGATTTTAAGTGGAAATAAGACTGTCTAATACCTAAAAGTGGGCAGAAAAACTTTGCTGGAGCTTTCATCTAGGGACAGGGGAGTGTTATTCTCACAGACTACAAATTAAAGACCACTGGGAAGAACATGAAAAGTGTATGCTTTAATTATTCGTTGCACTTGTCTGCTGTATTGGTTGCATTACTGTGGTTGATGTTGTGTTAGGAAGGCCAGGCGCGGTGGCTCACGCCTGTAATCCCAGCACTTTGGGAGGCCGAGGCGGGCGGATCACGAAGTCAGGAAATCGAGACCATCCTGGCTAACACGGTGAAACTACTAAAAATACAAAAAATTAGCCAGGTGTGTGGCGGGCATCTGTAGTCCCAGCTACTCAGGAGGCTGAGGCAGGAGAATGGCGTGAACGCGGGAGGCGGAGCTTGCAGTGAGCCCAGATGGTGCCACTGCACTCCAGCCTGGGCAGCAGAGCGAGACTCTGTCTCAAAAAACAAAAAAAAAAGGAAGAAAAAAAGAAAGGTTACCTTCATATTCAGTGTTGTACACCTAAAGTCTTGATTTTTGTTTGATATTTCTCTGCATGTTTCTGGCTTATAGCAAATACTCCTATACTGCAAGTCAACTCAGTTATTTAGGAGGGCATTTTGTAGCCAGGTTTCTCACAGTCCTTACTAGAAAACTTATTTGCTTAAAGTTAATATTCTATGTGTATATTACTGAATATTTTTATATCCAAGGTGAAAATTAGGTAACATTTACTTTGATAACCTTCTATAATTAAATAATGCAGCGTGAACCATAATATAGCAGTTTGGAGACTTGATGTCCCATTTGCTCATAAACAAAAGCAAAACACCGATATTTTAAAAGTATTATTTTAAATTGAAGTGTGATACACGTAATAAAAATGCACAATTGATAAGAGTTTAGTTTGGTGAGTACAAAGTGAATACACCCAGGTAACCAGCACCAAATTAAGAAACAGAATAAGATTAACATCCCAGTCACTGACCCCTCATATCAATAGTTTTGCTTATTTTTATTTATTTATTTATTTATTTATTTATTTATTTATTTTAGAGACAGTCTTGTTCTGTTGACCAGGCTGAACTGGAGTATAGTGGCGCAATCATTCCTAACTCACTGCAGCCTTGACCTTCTGGGCTGAAATGATCCTCCTGCCTCAGCCTCCCAAGTAGCTGTGACTACAGGCGTGTGCCACCAATAGTGGTTAATTTAAAAACAATTATTTTTGTTATTATTTTTTGTTGAGACAGGGTCTGCCACCATTGCCTAGAGTGACCTTGCACTCCTGGCCTCAAGCAATTCTTCCATCTCAACCTCCCAAAATACTGTAACTAAAGGTGTCAGACACCACTGAGCCCAGCTCAGCCTTGCTTTTTATTAATGAGACTGTATATTTGAGTTTGCGAGATTCATTCATATTGTTGTGTGTAGCTGCAGTTGTTGTTTATTTACAAGTCTGCATTCAACCAGATGACAATATTTTAGCTAATTCAATTGTTTATTAGTTGATAGACATTTGGATAGTTCTATTTATTGGTTGATGGACATTTGGATTGTTTCCAGGTTTAGACCCTTACAAATCAGGCAACTAAAAACATTGTTAAACACATGTTTTGGTGAATATATTGTGCACTTTTATTGATTTTATGCTTAGGAGTGGAATTACTGTATTACATGTATGACTATGTTCAACTCTAGTAGATAAGGAAAAACAGTTTTCCAGAGTGGTGGTAAAAATTACTCTTCCATCAACTGTGTGTGAGAAGTCACTCCACTTCCTTGTTAATACTGTCTTTTTTCATTTTAGCTTTTCTGGTGTGTGCCAGTTCCTTTTTTTGAAAAAAAAAAAAAAAATTTGTCCTAGCTATTGGCATGCCCTCAGTAAATCTCCATATGGGAAGTGGGATGTCTTCTTTCCTTTCATAAGACCATCGCACCAGCCTGACTACTCATTGAAGCATGAAGTTCTATATTTAGCAAGGAATGCAGAATAACATTCTGGTGGTAAATGCTGCCCAACATTTATCAATAACTTTGCTAAGTGAAAGCATAGGTATAAAGTGTGTTAGTTAGTATTTTGAATGTAAGTGCAGAAATCCCTATTCAAAATAGTTTCACCAAAAAGGTAGTTAATTGACTCTTGTAGCTGAAAAGTCAGGCTTGACTGGCTCCTGGGATTAGCTTCACTTTCCAAATCAAGACTGCCTCCCACTAGGCTGCTTCTCTTCTAAGGCAAGCTTGCTTCCTGCCTAGAGGCCAGGATTCTGCCAATAGCTCCAAACTCCCATCAGTAAACCGAAACCAAAATAGCAGCCACAGCAACAAAACTCTTCCTGTCTTTCTGGAACTATCAAGTCCGGAATTGGGGTTCCTTGGCTCTTATTGCACTAATTATGTCTTTTTTGGCTCCAGGTGGCTATCAGGTCCCTTTGGACCGCATGCTTTTAGAGAAGCAACAATTCTCTGAGGAAAATTGGGGGTGCTGTTAACAGAAGAAGGGTCAATGGTAGGTGGGCGGCAAGAGTAACAAAATAACCACTGCAAGTCAGACTAGATAAATATAACACAGTCTAGTTATTCCTGTAGATCCTAGGGGACTCACCCTTGGATTAAGCAATACTGCTGGAACATTGCATATGTGGATTGCATCATTTTAGGCTCTGTGGAATTGCTTTTATTGAACTGTGTTAGGACATTCTGTTACCAGACTGCATTGAGGTACAATATAATGAACAGTCCTGAGGAATTCCATGCATTATTGTAAGACGGTATTGAGCACACTGTTTATTTCCATTGCCACGTTATAGGATTTCATGGGAGAAATTTCTCCCTGGTCTCTACACCAGGAAGAGTCAAACTGTTCCTAAAAACCTTTCATGATTTTATCTTATGGATACTGTGATTCCTCAAAATGGTAGGGTTTCCTTCTTTGCACTGCTAGAGTGATAGAGTCAATTTTATGGCTTGTTTTAATCAAGTATGCTAGGCTTTGAAGCATGGATTCTTTTAGTGCTAGCCTCACCCCTTGATTTTTATATTTCCTTCAGTATTATTTCCCAGTTCTCACACTCTCTCTTTTGTTCTATATTCTTTGGAAACTTTCTCAAATCTTTTCTGAGACGAAGTTGAGAAATACGTATAATTTTATGTATAGTTCATTTTATGCATTGAAAATGTCACCACAAAGTAAATAAATCTGCTGGGCTTTAGGAAGAAGTTTATTAACAGGAATTATTTTGGGTTCCAGTTTTAGATGGAGGAGTTGTAAAACACTACAGAATTAGAAGACTGGATGAAGGGGGCTTTTTTCTCACCCGGAGAAGAACCTTTTCAACACTGAACGAATTTGTGAGCCACTACACCAAGACGAGTGACGGCCTGTGTGTCAAGCTGGGGAAACCATGCTTAAAGGTGAAAATGCTTTCAAGCTGTGTTTGCTTATTGAAGTTAACTTTTTTCCTTCAGCTATCTGAGTATTTTTCATGGAATATCAGTTCAGGAAAAAAATTGTCATTTTATTACCTGAGGCAGGTATAGGCAAACCATGGCCCATGAGCTCACACTGACGTATGCTTGTTTTTGTAAATAAGTTTTATTTGCTCAGATGCTCATTCATATATGAGTTTTCTTTGGATTCTTTTGTGCCATAACAGCAGAGTTTAGAAGCTGCCACAGAGACCATAGGGCAGGTGGTAAACTAGAATATGAGTTCTTGGAGGGCAGGGGTCTTGCTTGTTTTGTTTATAGAAAAGCACCTAGTCAATGCTTAAAACAATTTTACTTACTAAATGAATGAGTAAATAAATGAATGAACAAATAAAGAAATGAAAAAATGAGTTTGAAAAAATAAAACATTTAATTATGCAAAATAGATGATACATACAATAAAACTATAGCCAAAGAGTTTGGGAAGGATTTGTGGGTGAGATGGAACTTCAACTGGGCCTTGAAACTGAGAGGATTTAGGTAGGTGAAGAGGTACAGAGAAGTCATTCCAGACCTGAGTGAGGATGGCATTAGGTATGGGATCAGACAAGTTGACAAGAAGGTGCCTGACTTTCCAAGATTTGGAAGATCAATTTGAAGAGATAACAGTGCAGATTCTCCCACCATACTTTTTGTTTTTGAAGCAATAATAATACAGTTTACAATATTTTGTTTTAAAAAATGTTTTATTTAAAAGTACCTAGACTATTATTTTCAACAAAATAATATTAAATATACCCCCCCCTTTTTTTTTTTTAACAATTGCTCTTATTATTCTATGAAACAGATCCAGGTCCCAGCTCCATTTGATTTGTCATATAAAACCGTGGACCAGTGGGAGATAGACCGCAACTCCATACAGCTTCTGAAGCGATTGGGATCTGGTCAGTTCGGCGAAGTATGGGAAGGTCTGTGGAACAATACCACACCAGTAGCAGTGAAAACATTAAAACCAGGTGCGAGAACAATAAAGGTTAAATGGCATATGTTGATTTTTATGAGCTCAATTTAGCACCGTAAATATCTAAGAGGTCATGGGGTGGCTAATACTGGCAGCAAGCAGGTGTTGTGGTCTTTCTCTCTAGCCCAGGTGACCCAAACCTATGGATAAGGCATTAAAATATAAAAACAAGAGCACACTTCCTGGTTCAACTGAGTCTTAAAATATCACTGATTGAAGAGTCTGACAACTCATCTCTTCTCTGGAGTTAGGATTCAGTCTTCCAATGTCCTTCTTCCCATTTTGTTCTTAGCCTTAGTTAACAGATACTGACTTAACTGAAAATATTTCAAAAATCAGAAGGAATCTTGATACTATTCAGGAAACAACTATTTCTAAAAGTATTACTTTTCTATGGTTCAAAGGCAAAATGGTCCATCCAAAGAAACTTGTATTTGAAAATGTAGGAATTTTTTTTTCCCTTCCATCTTCCTTTTTCCTGTGATGGCAAGTAAAATTATACTGAAATCAGTATTTATTCAGCCAGGCTTTATTCCCTCTATTTAAAAGAGAGACTAAGTAACTTCCCACATACTTTCTAGTTATGTGATCTTGAGCAAAGTTTTGAACTCTATGCTTCAGTTTTGTCATTTGTGAAACAGAAGTAATAATAAGGCCAGCCAAGAAGAAAAATTAGGTCATTAATGGAAACGCTTTGTATAGTACCTGGTTTACAGTAAGTGATGGATAAAAACTATTATTATAATAATGAAAAAGTCAGTAAATGGCATAGCTGGGATTTGAACCCACATCTATTACTATTGCATCACACCCCATGGAAGTGACAGTCTATAAAAGTGCAACATTGCTGTAGTAACCTCCTGTGTACCTTTATAACAGAGGTAAGAATAATCAACATAGGCTAGATTGTAGTTTTCTGGGAGACCTGCATTATTTACCTAGCCCAGAATTCTTAGAGGTTTGGTAATTCTTAGAGGTCTGGTGGCAGAACTTGAGCACTTGGGATTTGATTGCTGGCAGGATAGGGTAACACTATGGTTCCCAAACTGTGTGCCAAGGCTCTTGGGGGCACCACGGTGAATTCACAGGAGTGCTGTGGAATACTTAAAAGTTTTGAAGTTAACATCCTGAATATTGTACAAGCTGCTACCTTTAAGTAGTTCACGGTTTCAACTTTAAAACAACATTCGTTTTGTTGACATCGTATCTTTGTAAAGCTGGGTTTTTGATGGTTGCTATGGTCAAATGCAAAATCCACACAAAAATCAATACGGACCAGAAAATGGGGGTAGCAGTGCTCCGTCCGATTCTAAGATTGGAGAAGTTGTGCAGTGTCCCAGGAATGCATATATCACTTTAGTAAGCACTTGTAGTTAAGAATTAAATGAAAAATTGTCTTTTCCTTTCAATTTACCTGTGTTACTTTTTCAAATGGCTATTACATTGTTAGGATAAATACTTCTTAACTTGTTTGGATCTAACCCAGTAATCAAAAGAACTGTTAGTTTTTTTTTTGTTTTTTTGTTTTTTGTTTTTTTTTTCCACGTAGAGACATCATGAAAAAAGTTACGGAGACACTAAGGGTTCCAGGAACTGAAAATGTTGGGATCCTCTGGTGTAACAAGTTAACAGTGTCAAATTTGATATAACATAAATCTGCGTTTAAACTTGGCTCTGCCCTCTGTGACTTTGGACAATTTTTTAACCTTTTGGAATCTTCTCGTCTGGAAGTGGGAAGCATAATAGTTCCTACTTTCTAAGATTTTATAAGGACAAATGGAGCCAATGTACGTAAAGTATATGCAGCAAGTTCTTAATAAATGGTAGCCTCCATGGGGCTGCTGACAGATGTGTCCACTGAAGTGCAAATTTACTAGTGCAGGAATTCAGTTTCAGCATTTTCATCTGCCAGATGAAACAAGCGACAGGCACTTTTAAGTGGCCAGGTGCTATATGAGTGCTCCAGGTGAGGACATTCTATTCTAGCACCTGAAATTTTCACAATCACTGTGTGTATATGCTTTTAAACCCTAATCTTGTTAATAAATGATGGCTAAACTTTATTGTCCAACCTAATAATTCTTTTCTAAGAAGAGGCAGCTAGCTAGCCTTCCTAACACTGTTCTCTAAGGAAGCCCTTTGGGAAGTCAAAAGACAACAACAAAAGTCAGATTTCTCATATTAAAAAAAAAAAAAAAAACACGATAGCTTTCTCTCCAACAGGAATAATTATTATTGATTTACAGTGTAATAGCCACAAACAGCTTTTGTGATTGGTTAAATGTCTTCACTTCACTGGGGCCATTAATCAATCTTAGCAGCTATTTATTGCTTAGCAGGCTACTACGCAATAAAGATGAGCCTCAAATGAACTCCTACAGTAGCTTTGACAGGAAAAAATTAATATTTAATGTTACATTACTAGCTGAGTTGAGATTGGGCTTCCTTTACTCTGCAGCTGGTGAGCTATAACCAGCATGGCCATGAAGGAGTGCTCTGAAATGGTCTTCACCTGAAGAGGCTTCTGACCTACTGTGATTTCAGTTCTTGTGCATAGTCTGATTTGGGAATGAGTTTGAGTGTCCTACATTGTTTGAATCTGATGGCCACACAACATAGAAATTTCAGTAACATAAATATATATTGTATATATAATTTTCTTTTTCTTTTTCTTTTCTTTTCTTTTCTTTTTTTTTTCCCAGGCTGGAGTGCAATGACATGATCTCAGCTCACTGTAACCTCCACCTCCTGGGTTCAAGTGACTCTTCTGCCTCCAAGTGATTCTCCTGCCTCAGCCTCCCGAGTAACTGGGATTATAGGCACCTGACACTATGTCTGGCTAATTTTTGTATTTTTAGTAGAGACATGGTTTCACCATGTTGGCCAGGCTAGTCTCCTAACTCCTGACCTCAAGTGATCCGCCTGCCTTGGCATCCCAAAGTTCTGGGATCACAGACATGAGCCACCGCGCCCATCCTCATTTTCTGTATGGTGATCATAATTGCTGCTATCACTGGAAGCTTATATTTTTTGGGTGGTAGTGGGGGGAATCCCCACTGTGTTGATATTTGACCATAGGCCAAACTAGTTGTAACAATCAAGAACAAAGTCCTTTATTATGGCTTAGGTGTCTCTTATTCTCAGCTCCATTTTGCGACTATGATTCCAAATTTTAATCCTATTTGACTGTGTGGAGTAAACCAGTGGTAGAGATGGAATTGATGGAGCTCAGAAACAGGTAACGGAAAAGAGAATCGGCCATTTTCTCCTATTCTCTCTCTTTAAGTCCTTGTCCCTTTTCTTCCTTAGCCTGTGAAATATACTTACAGCTGGTCTGTTTGGTTTTTCCAAGACTATGCATTATCAGTGATAATATAAATAATGATCAACTGTCACTGAATACATACGTGCCGGCATTGCTATTATCTTGTTAATGATCTTATGATGTCAGTAAAATGATTAGCCATGTTTTACGGATGAAGAAACTGAAGTTTAGAGAGGTTTGATAACTTGCTCAAGATCACACAGAGTGCTGGTGGCAGAGCTGAGATTTGTCTAGAATGCAGAGTCTGATCAGTCCAGTCCTGAACTTCTGGTTCTCAAAGGGGAGACTGCTCAAACGTTTTATATGAAATGATGTGCAGGTCACATGTAACTAACTCAACTTCACATTAATAAACAAGTCACAGTGTTGTCTTAGAATGTCAAAGCTCATCCATGCCTGGGTTTAAATATCAGTGATAAAGTCTTCAACACTGAGAGGATGATGAATGTAGTAGTCTTTTGGAGCATCAATGGAAACTATATTTGCATTATTCATAGTGAATACTAAGATGTGAAATGACAGTATTCCTTTAATTATAGTAATGCCTCTGAAACATCATATTCTAAAAGAAAATATTTTAAAATTACTGGTGAAATGTAAACTCCAGATAATCTTCCTCCTCTTAGGTTTTATTTGATGGCAACTACTTGACACCTTGCATGGTGAGTCAGAGTGGAGCCATTAAAATATGATTTAATTGCAGACAAGTCTTCTAAATAGGCCTTAATATTGTCTCTCCTCCAATAGCCATGCTATTAAGGCTTTGACTGTGGAAGCAGATAGTACAGGAGAAAATATTAAATATCAGTTTCAAGTTGAACATATAAAACAGGTGAAAAAAAACCCATTAACTTTTGGGGATGGTCTTGGATGTTTTCCACTTGGCCTACACACTATATTCCTACAGAATTAAAGATAAAATTATGGCAGAATGTCACTGTTTTAGGATTTTTTCCAGCTGTTCCCACAGTGGGCACCAAGGACAGGGCAACTATCAGACTCTGGCTGCAGTAATCAAATATTCAGTGACCTTCAGTGCTCATGTTAATAGAATGTTTTCCTTTTGTGTTAAGATGCCTTGTTTTATCAGTTAGATTATCAGTCTCTCCTTTTTCCTTCATTTTTCATGTAGACCTGAATCTACCTCTCTTCACCTACAGGTCATAACATATAAACCGTATACTCCTGATGCACCAACACATCCAGTTATTAGGTTGCTCTGGCTGAACTGATTCTCTTCTTGATAACTCTGAAGATTTGTGACACTGATGCTCTTACTCTACTGAGAAGCAGGAGGCAATCTTGATGATTCCCACCAGGCTGCTGTAAGGATAGGAATGCCTCAATAACATAAAGTGATTTCTGCCTCTTCTTGTTTCAGGTTCAATGGATCCACGTGACTTCCTGAGGGAGGCACAGCTAATGAAGAACCTAAGACATCCAAAGCTTATCCAGCTTTATGCTGTTTGCACTTTAGAAGATCCAATTTATATTATTACAGAGTTGATGAGACATGGAAGTCTGCAAGAATATCTCCAAAGTAAGCAAAGACTTAATATAAGGAAAAAAAAAAAAAGAGGAATTTAGTTTAGCTAGTCCTATAAATGTCAATTTAGCAAGCCTTCTGTAACCCAAAGGATATTTACTATGTGTATGTCTGTGAGAATGAATGTCTTAACATTGAATGACTCAGCTACTGTTTAATAGGTTATATATTGTATACTCAAAAGGTGGAAAATACTTATGCAGTGGAAGAGAAAATTTTTCACAACAGATATATTAGAGTAATTGAATGTAACGTGGGAAATTAAAGAATGGATGTTTTGCATGATGCTTTATTTCCTACACTAATTGAACATTATCAGTTATGGACCAATATTTTCTATGGCACAGAATTCGGGGACATGGAATACATTTGGGGCAAAAGGGAGGGAAGTATCCTATGTTTATTTTCTTTGCCAGTAGTTGACAACATTGTACTTGTTGCTGTTTAAAATACATCCACTGCTAGGCAACATAAGAATTGTCAGGCAAAAAAGCAGCAATATACTATTGCTTTATTTCTCTATTTGTTTCCTGTAGTCAGAGAAGACTGAAGGGCATTGTGAAATTTTGATGTTTATTACAAATGGATAATTTAGTAAACAACAATACAGTGTAATGAGCATTAAAATGAGATGTTCAAAGAAGGTGAGATCAAGTACTGACAGAATAATTCAAGCTTGAAAAGGAGACTTCTATAATTTCTTGAAATGTCAGGGTGGGAATGATAGAATGTATAGAGGTAAAGGGAGGTGAGAATGATGAAACAAAGATTTCAGAAACATGAGAATATCCTCTGATTTCAGGATGCCTTGTGAAGCTGGTAACATTAAACTATAAAACAAGATAAGAACAACAAATAACATAATAAGGCCTGTTGAATGCCATTAAAAACAGAAATATGCTCAGCTTCATTGCAGAAAAATATTGAATTTAACAGCATCAGAATATGTTACCCACCATAGAAAGATTAAACTCAGCTATTAAATAACCACTTTTGCCTTATTCCCAGGAGGACAAAGTGCAAACGTTGTCTTGGGTCATATCTAGCAAAAAATGCTTTATAAAGGTCCCTAATAGTATTCACATAATTACATCTAATGGCCTATTCCCCATCCTCAGATCTACCAACAGCATTTAATTCAATAGACGCTTTCTCCTCTTGGAAACATTTCCTTCATTTGGCTTTCAGGACACTTCACTCAATGGCATTTCCTCCTTCCTTTCTTGGTGATTCTTTTCAACCTATGTGATTTCCTTCATTCCCAGACCTCTCAGTATCTTGGAGTTCTCCAAGACTGTTCACAACATCACTAGTTCCCTTATTAATTTCATCTAACCTCATTGTTTAATTTTTTTGTGTCCTGACAATTCTCCAAATTTTATTCCCCCTTTACTTGAGAATCATACCCAACTGCCTTCTTAACTTCTCCACTTGAATATTGTATCAGTCTGCATAATGTAAATATGCTGCAATAACTAACAGTCTCCAAATCCCCAAGGGCTTAACACACATGTTTATTTCTTATCCATGCTACATTGCAAAATATGTTGGCTGGTGGCTCAGTTCTTTTGATCACCCTGGCAGAGAAAGGGGATGAGACTAATCTCACCCTGATTCTTAAAGCTTCTGACCAGTAGTGACAAAGATAATTCTGTTCCCTTTCCATTTGGACAAATCAAGTCAAAGAGGGTAGGGAAGTACAATTCTGTAAAGTGCTTGAAAGGATGAAAAAATCATTGTTTGTGAACAGCCCTAATTTCTACTATAGTAGAAATGTCTATTAGACATCTCAAGATGACATGCCCCAAATTGATCTCCCTGTATTCTCCCCAGTAATCTGCTACTTTTGCAGTCTTTCCTTCTTTGACCATATCAACACTCAGGCCTAATACCTTGGCATCGTCTCTGCTTTTCATGTTCCATCTCTAACCTGCTAGCAAAATCCCATTGGCTGGCCTTCAAAATATATAGAGGATTTTACCTCTCCTCAATGCTCCTACCCTGATCCAGGCAGCCATTTCCTTTCTCCTGAATTCTGCAGTAGCTCCCGGCTAGTCTTCATCTTCTGGTTCTTGTCGCCTTCAGTTTCGTCTCAACACAACAGCTAGAGAGATACAGTTAAAATGTAAATCAAAGCATGTGTAACTCATGAAGTCCTGCATGGCCTGGCTCTCTATTCCCTCTCTGATCTCATCTTCTACAACCTTCCCCTTGCTCAGTATGTGTCAGCCATACTAGCCCTCTTTGCTATTTTTTCCTACCCTCTGAGCATGCTTTTGCCTCACTCATTATTTCCTCTGCCTGACTTTTTTTGTTGTTTTGACATTTATCCACATGCTCACTTCTAATTTCCTCAAAACCTCTACTTAGATGTTTCCATCTTGGTGAGTGCTTCACTGGTCACCCTCTGAATTTTAAAATTTAATCTCTTTCTACTGACTCTTAAAGTATTCCTTTTCCCTTGTTTTTTATTTTATCCTCTTGGCTTCTTACAGTGTGTATCTTATTTATTTGGCTTGTTTTTAGTATCCTCTGAATATAACTCCACACTGGCATATAGTGTTTTCTTTGTTTCAGAGTTAGAACAGTGTCTGGCACATAAGAGAGTATGTACTAATTAGGTATTGAATAAATAGATTAAGTTGGGACCATCTTGAACCTAACAAGATTGGGACTTGGAGTCAAGCTTGTTTTGAGACTCTTGTATCAGCTTGAAAAGATCCACTTGGTACGTGGCCAACTCCTCTGGCATTGAGGATTTTTGTGGCTTGGTAATGTGGTTTACTCGGGGCTAAGTATGAACCCTATCAGCTTCAGAGTTAGGCCATTAGGGTCAAGTTTACCAGTGCCTTCATTTGTGAGGATGATGCTTAGCAGCCAGGAGGAGTAATGAACATGTGCTCACTGCAGACAGCTCTTTCCCCAGTCAAGAGGGTTCACATTCAATAAAGCGATCTTAAAAGTGGATGTGCCACTCTTAAGCAGCCCATCATAATGAATATTATTAAGCTGAAAGATTCTTGAGTAATGGAATATAGTTGAAAATATTTTCTTGCTGCAAATGTAAATTGTCATAGATTTGTGAACTTTTACATCAGTTTTGACCTCTGTTGGTTGTATTAAAAGTATGTGTTGAGGTTTACTTAGGCAGTACTGAGGTTACTGCACCCTTCAAAGTAGGAAATGTGTGTCACTCAGTTTCCTCCAGTATTATGCCTGTCAGTGCAAACCTTTTTCTATCCACTGTAATACAATTAGGTGTCATATGTGATAGCTGAAATAACATACGCATTTTTTCTATATAAGCATTTTTGTAGTTTCTAAGCTTGGCTGGATAATTTTTGTAATACATTTCTGCAAAATGAGAGAGATCTGTAAAAAAACTTTAATATTGAGGGTAATTAATGACAGGTACATCTTGTTACAATTTAAAGAGGATAAATAGCTCTATTTTTAAAAAGTTTAGTTTGACTTGTTTTTTCCCCAGTAAATACTTATAGAACATCTATTATATGTCAGACAACTTGTTACCTATTCCTTTGAGTAATAGGAATCCTCATGAAATGGGTGAGAATAATTGCAATCCTTACTTCATATAGTTGTTCAGAGTATTAAATTAGGTGATTGACTGGAAATGAACTATACAAGATAGTGATAGGAGAGGATCATATATATACTTTTTTTCCTTTAAAAACACTGTAGTACTTTGTGACAGGCAATTTATAAGTCTTTTATAAATATTAACTTAATTCATTTTTCTTTGTTTTCAATTACTTTTATTTTTTAAAATTATACTTAAAATTCTGGGATACATGTGCAGAATGTGCAGGTTTTTTACATAGGTATACATGTGCCATGGTGGTTTGCTGCTCCCATCAACCTGTCATCTGTGTTAGGTATTTCTCCTAATGCTATCCCTCCCCTTGCTCACCACCCCCCAACAGGCCCCAGTGTGTGATGTTCCCCTCCCTGTACCCATGTGTTCTTACTCTTCAATTCTCACTTATGAGTGAGAGCATGCGGTGTTCGTTTTTCTGTTCTTGTGTTAGTTTGCTGAGAGTGATGGTTTCCAGCTTCATCCATGTTCCTACAAAGGACATGAACTCATTCTTTTTTATGGCTGCATAGTATTCCATGGTGTATATGTGCCACATTTTCTTTATGCAGTCTAACATTGATGGGCATTTGGGTTGGTTCCAAGTCTTTGCTATCGTGAATAGTGCCGCAATAAACATGCATGTGCATGTGTCTTTATAGTAGAATGATTTATAATCCTTTGGGTGTATACCCAGCAGTGGGATTGCTGGGTCAAATGGTATTTCTAGTTCTAGATCCTTGAGGAATTGCTAGACTGTCCTCCATAATGGTTGAACTAATTTACACTCCCACCAACAATGTAAAAGCATTCCTATTTTTCCACATCCTGTCCAGCATCTGTTGTTTCCTGACTTTTTAATGATCCCATTCTAAGTGACGTGACATGCTATCTCATTGTGGTTTTGATTTGGATTTCTCTAATGATCAGTGATGATGAGCTCTTTTTCATATATTTGTTGGCTGCATAAATGTCTTCTTTTGAAAAATGTCTGTTCATATCCTTTGCCCACTTTTTGATGAGGTTGTTTTTTTTTCTTGTAAATTTGTTTAAGTTCCTTGTAGATTCTTGGTATTAGACCTTTGTCGGGTGAATAGATTGCAAAAATTTTCTCCCATTCTGTAGGTTCCCTGTTCACTCTGATGATAGTTTCTTTTGCTGTGCAGAAGCTCTTCAGTTTAATTAGATCCCATTTGTCAATTTGGGCTTTTGTTGCCATTGCTTTTGGTGTTTTAGTCATGAAGTCTTTGCCCATGCCTATGTCCCGAATGGTATTGCCTAGGTTTTCTTCAGGGTTTTTATGGCTTTAGGTCTTATGTTTAAATCTTTAATCCACCATGAGTTAATTTTTGTGTAAGACGTAAGGAAGGGGTCCCATTTCAGTTTTCTGCATATGACT